AGTTTATTATTGATTAAGTCGGTTATTTACACATATCGGGAAGTTTTTGTAACTTGCCTCAAGGCTAAATACCAATACCACTAGTTTACTATTATCCGAAACAACAAAATGTTTCGAATGCTTCAATATTCCACAAAAGCGTACGAACAGATATTTTTTACATAAAAATAATATCAATAGAAATTCAAAACCGAAAAGAAACCTGAAAGATTCGCATTTTCTACCTAACAAGTAACAGTTTCCTTCCTAGCGCCCTTTTTACTTCGGTCGCCGTTGGCCCGGTTCATCGCACTCGTGCCGTCAGGGGCGCGTTACCGGCACTCGGGACCCTTCCTCGGGGAATTCACCCCTGTGCTGTGATGACTTACAAGCGAGTGTGGGGATTTATGATGCACTCTTTATCTTTATTTTCGCTTTTGTTACTAACAAAATCCCCCGAAGACCGGAGCCGCAGGCCCTATCGGTTTCCGACTGAAGATTTAGACAAATTTTCAAGTCAGGTGACTATGATTATTAGTATAAAAGATTCTAGAGGCACATATACTCTGACAAATATTCGCGAATTGATACATTTATCTGCATGTAAAAATATTAGTTCATATAGGTTGGAATAAAAACGAAAATTGCTGTGATATATATTTGTTAAGTGAGATAGTTCTTTGAGACTTATTTGAGCAAAAGATAAACTAGTTTCAAAAGGCTCACAATGCTGGAAGTATTATTTAGGGAAGACTGGGTATAGTTGTGCCATGTTTTTTTTTAATCAGTCATGATTTTGTTAATTTACCAGTTAGTTGGGAGAAAATTAAATTCAATAGTAATTTGAACATTTGTCTACGTGGAAATACTGAAAGACTGCCCTTAAATACGATGGATTAGTCATAAAATCAAATCAAAGAAGGGCGAGTATCATAATTGTCCATACCCCAAAGACGGTTGTGACAGACATAAAAACAGTTTGAAAAATAATAGCGACTTTGTCAGAAATATGTAACACAACACAACATAATTATTTGAACAAAGCTCACGTATATAATATAACAATATATAACAAAACATATGTTTTTACACAAATTTAACAAGAAATCTCTGTCATATCTTTATTTCTTGTATTTAATTTTTTTCCTTTCTCTCTCGTATATGTCTTAGTTAAGTTATATTTTTCTTTGTCTGTTTAACCTTCACCCGAAAAGAACAAAACCTACAACCACATGTCACAACCGTACCCAACGTACACTTCTGAAAACAAATCATCGTAATGATTAAGTGAGCTTTATTAACAATTATCAACCCAAAAACAAATTGCTGGTAATTAACTATTGATGTTCAACATATGGCAAAATAGCTTTATTTTGACTCCTTAAAAGCAATGCTGCCTACAAATAAAAAATAATAATAAAAATGAAAACATGTTCAAACAAACGTACTACGTCTTTCTCCTTTTGGACCCTATGTCAAAATCAGTATAATAGTTTTTTAGCTGTTGTGGCGACTGTCACCGTATCCTGGCACAACCGTACCCAGTCCCTCCTAAATATAGTTTTATTTTCAAATGCTATATTAATTATAGCTTACTATAAAATTACTTGGACATTGTTTTCAAACAATGACATTGTAATTGAACAATAAACACAAAACTCTGAATTAACATTAAAACAGAAACAAAATTAAAAATTTATGTTATTTATCACCTCATATCTCTAACTAAAATAAACGCAGACAGACAAATATCATCAGTAAAAGGGGTTAACAGTCAGAAAGTGAAGTTATATATATATATATATATATATATATATATATATATATAATATTAGCATTATGGTAATAAAATAATTTTTCATTTCAAGTAAACACAGAGCGAAAAGATTAAGTAGAATAAAATCGGAAAGCTAGAAAACTGAGGGTGCCTCGATGTATTTGATTCTTCACCATCGTGGAGAAGCATAAGTCACTGACTTTGCCGTGGTTTACACTACATTTTTCTTAAGCTGTTGAGATTACCGCTCCCCCTTATAATTTATTCTTTAGTATTATTACACACAGTATTTCATACTGTGTATTAGTTAAAGTCTAGATAAAAGGCAAGTGAAGCACGTTCTTAATGGATTTTGACATGCAATTCCGTTATGTGATAAATGGGAAATAGTACAGTTACTATTGCATTCTATGGAATTAAATTATTTTAATAATATTAATTGTAGTTATAGTTTATATATTTTCAACTATCGTTACATGCCATGATTGTTCTTCTTTCTACAGAAGGTCACATAAAAGTTCAAACTATACAGTGTAAGTAAATAAAACATTTTGGTATTAACTGGAAACTGTTGCCCAATGAGTAACAAACTGGAATTTTGCAAATTTGGACACTATAAATATTAGACTTCAATGCATTGTGATTAAAAAACAGCATTTATTCTTACAAAAAATTGTATTCAGAAATTAAGTCAATTTGTCAACGTATATATCCCTAGTAGATACGCTGCTGGGTATATATACTAATTTCTCATCTATATTATTTTCTTATGTATATACATATATATATATATATATATATATATATATATATATATTTCTGCTTAATGTATTAGAAAAGATAGAAAAGTATAGTTAAATAATAAGAAAAATGACTTTGCTTTAAATTGAATTGATATGAAAATCGTCTTATTTTAATCTTTATTATGATATGACTGAGGCTCCAAAGAAAACGCTGCAGGGAATCGGTATCCAAATCAATAATTCTGATTCTGATACAAGTTTCATTTAACAATTATAGTAAACATTATTAAGGCTACCATATTTTTTAAAAAAAAGTCGGAACGGACACTTGAAAAAAGAAAGCTGAAACATAACTTACTCGAAAATATGTTTTTTTAATTTATTTTTAGTGCTATAGATAACAAAAACTTTAAGCATACAGGAGGAAAAAATCTAACAATTACAATAAAAGACTAGAATTCTCAATACATTAATTCATGATGATAAATATTGTAGTAGTAGTCCATGGACGACATCTGTACTCACAGCACGTTATGCGAATGTGCAACATCTGTAGACACAGTACGTCATGTGGATGGACATTAATTTTTAACATAAACCTTAATTATAATATAGGACTTGAGAAAATCATTATTATTGACTGTGGTCCTAGAAATGTTATTGAAGGTTGAAGTACCAAAGTTTAAATGAACAAAATTAATAAAAATTAACCAAAATAACCAATAAATGATCATTTTACCAAAGCTCTTGGTTACACTTAAAAGCTTATAATTTCCAAAAAACGCGAGATATTTCTTTTCTAATTTTTTTCAGGACAGTTAAGGACAATACAATCACCCCGTTTTGGCTTGACTTAGTTCTGGAACACCAATGGTATATGGTGTTATACCAGTATATATATATATATATATATATATATATATATATATATATATTCATAGAAATACATTTGCACATACACGCATATACAGACATACATACATACATACATATACAGTCATACATCCATATTCAAAATTCATTCATATATAAATGCAAACATGAGGGAACAGGCACTACCTAAAGGCAACATTGAAACAAATGCAGACACGTAGCTCGGCGGCACCCTGCGGTCTCGGGTAGCGTCAATCGCTGCACCATATCAACCCCGACCTCTCAAACAAGTCGAATCAAATTTGTATAAATTTACGTTTCGTTGCAACCGAGACACAGCCATATCGCAATTCCTTACGATGATTCTTCTCGCGCTCATATATTTGTACATGCAAATAGTGGCTGGCTGGATAGAACCATACACCTTACCCGTCTAGTTGAATTTATATTACACATGCATATAATACATACATACGTAAACACACAAATCGTATGAATGCAGGTTCTTTCAAATTTATATACACTGTCATAGAATATACATACGTAGGCACATGTTAGTCTTGTGCCCAATTCAAATTGATATTTTCATTGTTGGACAATATTCATCACGTTATCCAGTACATTAACATTATATTTCATAAAACTTATAAAATTTATTTAACATTAATAAACTTATAAATTTATTAACATTTTAGAGGTAAATGTTAAACACTTTACGATAGGGTAGGGCGAGGCACAAAGATCCAATTTGACTATAAGTAATTATACTTCGATTAGACAAAATATCTAACGATAACTTTTGTCTGCTAAGTGGCCTTTTTTTACTTTTTTGTTAAATCTCCGAAACACCTGAACCTGCCCTTTCCAAAAACGATATCAGTTGTTCATTTCGTCAGCACAAGTAAAATATTTTTTAATCATTCAAGTCGGACCTTCCGTTCTCTTAAAAACTGAATTACCATTTTTGGCAGTTTTTGCAGCGTATCTTCAAATCAGCTGGACCTGCCGTTGCCAAAAACTAATTGGCACGTCTTATGAGAACATTATTGGTACGGAACCCATATAAATGTACACAAAATTTGTACTTATTATAATCTATATAAAATATGATGTGCATATGTCTAATAACCATTTTTGACCGCCAAATGGCATTATTTTTTACTTTTCTTTATTAGAACCCTGGAAAAGCTGGACTAGCCTTCTCAAAAATTTCACTGGTTGTTCACTTTGTCAATACAAGTAAAATGTTTTTTGAATTATTCAAATCGGACGCTCCGTTCTCTCAATAACTTAATTACGAATTTGGGCCCTTTTTGCCTCGTATCTTCAAAACGGCCAGACCTGGCTTTGCCAAAAACTAATCAGCACGTTTCCTTACAAATAGAAATCAAATGTTTTTGAATCATATCCCCACATACATACACAAACATACGCACAGATACACACACCCACACACACATACATCAATTTTTTCTAATGAAACTTTGTATTATTTCAAATTTTTGTATTAAGTTATTATAATGAGATATAATAGAATTTGAGATAGTATTCGCATACGCTACTATAGTTCTATTAACTTTTTTCTATTATTATTATAGTTCTATTATTATTTTAGCAGTTGAGGCACCATGGTGTCGAGGCGCACTGGAAAGGAGGCGAAATCACGGGCGAGAAGTTCTACTACCCTGTCTGAAGTACTGATTCATGAGGCAAAAAAAGTAATTGAAAAATAAAATTAATATATATAATAATGAAAAAAAAGATGTATCAATACAACTAAAATACCTCCATAAAAACGAACAAATTAATGTAGTATGATAGGTATTTACTACGTAATTGACTACGTAATTTGGAACAAAATCATCGATTATATTGAAAAATAAAACTAGATTTCATTTACTACTTACTTAGGTTTTTACTTGAAATTATTGATATCAATGTTTTTAGGTGAAAATAGCCCTTACTTGGAAGCATGAATAAGTAATAAGTATGTAATAAAATATCTTCCATTATTTTATTTTATTTTGTAAATTAATAATATTGTTACATTCTGTTTTATATGTAGTTTAATGTTAAGCACATTTTAAATTTTACTATATATATTGTAATTTTGTATATATGTTAATTGTTATCCATAATGTAAAATAATTGTATTTTTGAGTCTTCTTGGAAGAAATCTGTGGGCTATGTATTTAAAAATAAATAAATAAATATAAATAATTAATCACAAAATTGTTTGGGTTGTCATCTAAAAACGTTGTTAAAAGTCAAAATTTATTACAACAGCTCATAGTACCCATAAGTTTTGATCTTTATATTACTTATATTTATGATCAATATATTATTTATATTTATTATTTTTGCAGGAACGAGCAGCACGGAATACAAGAATCCACAAAAAGTATCGTCTATCCCCCTCATTGGCCAAACTAATTGGCAGTGATGAACCCGAAACACGTTACAACGTAGTCAAGTTGATCTGGGTGCAGATCAAGGAGAGTAAACTCCAAGATCCCGAAGACCCTGCCTATATTGATTGTGGCGCTGAATTTGAGGAGGTGACCGGGATGACGCGACTTAAAGGCTTTACAATTATGAAGCACCCGAGCTCCCACTTTTTATCATAGATCTGTAGCTACCGGCCAACCCACATCTCACCTCAACTTCACAAATAAACATTATGTTGGCGCGAGGACAAAAGTGCAGCTTCAGGATTCGTAACTTTCTGTTGCCAAACCGTCAACATAATAAATTACATTATTTTTTCTTAATAATATGTACAATATTAATATACAATTGGTTTCCCCAAACAATACATCTAAAATCAACTAATGCACTATAGAATCGTATATGAAATAAAATGCATCACGCTGTAAAGAGGAAAAGCGAGTCCTCTTCAGAACTTACAGAGTTTTTTAAATTTTGTCTACGTGAGATCGACGCAAATATTGAGTGCAAACAAAAATCAAGCGAAATATCTGACATGTACATTCTACGTGGCTAAATAAAATCTCAGTTAGTGTCAACTGTCTTGTTTGTTTTGCACGCTGACACATCTTATTGTGAGATGATATGACGATATATCAAACGGCACGCAATATTGCTTCTTCAAAACATTTTTGCTGACTTCTTTAATACGATAATATAATATTGCGATGTAAAGAATCAGAGGAGACGACACTAGAATATTTAATTTCGAAGGTGTCGAAGTTCTCTATATTAAAATTTCTTTAAAGTTATTTCTATATCTAAGAGATGTAAGCGTTAGATTTCTGTATATGGAATCAGCGCGTATTTTCTTACATAAAAAATGTTAAATAATGGAATTTAAGAACTTTTCATTGTAAATTGACGAGTTTTATTTAAAATGCCATGCTTGTGCGCATGAAAATAATGTACCTATATATAATAACAGATTCCAAAAGTTCATATACAATGTTTAAATAATAAATATATATTTCTCGTATTATAATCAAGTACACGAATGTAATTAATATTTAATAAATGAAATAAAACAAAATAAAACTTTTTTACGTAACTCTGCTTAATTGTATGAATATATGTTTAGAACCATACAGAAAATTTATGTGCATAACTACATAATTATTCTGAAATTCATGTTTTTGTTATCTCCTTCTACGCTAACTGCATTTAAAGCAAAAATAGCGAAGATCTCAAAATCTAATTTAAATCAATTAATGATGTTATTTGGCACGGCGCCCAAAAACTTCCACGCTGGAATAACATAGTCATATTTTATAATAATTGTAAGTTTCTGCTTTCTGAATTAAATTTTATTCTTGTTGGTAATATTCTAAATTACTTGATTTAATGTCACAAATAATAATTCTAGTTTTAGGAGAATTTTACTGATTCATGAACGCATAAAATGCATACACAAAGGCCACTCCATTACGTATATAGTTTTCTCATATGCAAACCAGAAGTAGCGATTTACAAACACTATGAGGATAAATTATTATACCATTAGTCTACTGAAAAATATATATGTAGAGTTTTCTATTGTGCATTGTACACTTTACATATAATTTACAATATCATAAACCGATTTTCTCGCCGGAGACTTCTAGAATAAATTTTACGCACGTTTGTGCAATGTTTAAACAAGAAAATTTGCCGCAAAGTGCATATATTTATTGCAAAATGTTATAATAGCTTTTAAGACTTTATTGTAACTTGGCTGCTATTTTCAGTGTGAAGTACAGCGGGGTTTAAAGGTCCGTGGGTAAAAAAGGACCACCACCGATATCTAAAAAATCAGCGAACTTAAGAAGTTTTTAACAACAATATTTGAAAATGGAGGTAAAAATCTGTATAACCAGCTATTCACCTTCATTCTTACGACGTTGCTACTGGGAGGAAAACAGCAATATTTGTGAATCCATAAAAAAATCCGTTGTTTTAATATAATCCTTTAATATAATTTTCAACTACAGATTATTTAATTCTTTTATAAGATGTATAGTTAATTTTAAGTTAGATTCAACAGTTTGTTATATGACCTCTATATAAGCTTACATGTGGGTGGGGTAAAAAGCACCAACTGAACCTTTACCATGGCAAACAATGAAAAACGGTAAATAAAAAAGTAAATTACAAAGTTATACAAAAGTTATTTAACAAAAGATAAATAAATAATAGTACCAATTCTGCTAATAAAAATTTCTGCCAAAATACCAGATCAAGGTTATTTATACTGTTATCTCTATAAAAATGCACCCATGAAATTTATATTTTGCATTGGATGAATAATGTAGCACAGGAGAAACAAGCCAGAACTTAATTAAACGTTTACAAAAACAAAAATAATTAAAAAAATCCCAGACAATTTAAAACTATGCTTGAGGACCACATTAATACTTTCAAACACAATATATACTTTTCTAACCCGACTGTACTACAATTCAAACAAAATTTATTTAAACGAAGAATTATAGAAGGAACTATTTTTTGACTATTTATAACAATAGGATAATAAATAAACGCAATGAACTCAACACGCTGTGCGACTCAAATCTCTTTTATTTAGATAGAATTTCCAAATTTCTTACAAAACAATAAAAATGTCGCGCAAAGGATTCGCAATTCTTTCCACACATGTGTAGAATCTTGGTAAAAATATTTACAAAAAATCTTTTCTCTATTATGACTTCAACCAACTTACGAAAAACACATATTACACATGATTGTTTAAAGTTATTAATATTTTGTGAAATATTGTTGAATTACAAGTTTAGTGTTTATATTACATAGTGTAGTGCATTATCATATCCTGATACCATGGATTATTAGAATTTAATTTAACACTAAGTAACTAACTGTAAGTAATTTTTACTCTTTATATTTTTTCCTTTTCACTCCAATTCAATTGTTTTAGTTTTTAATTTTTTCTTAGTTTCCACTGAATAAATGTTTGGATTATAACCGAAACGTATGGATGTAAAATAATTTTTTTAAATTTTTTTTGTTTTTATTGACGTTTTGCCCGATTATTAGACTGTTAATACATATGTCAACATCAAATTCAGATTCATACAATATATATAAAATGATAAAGTTATCAACTTTTATTTGCACTAAAATAATTAAAATTCCCACTTTACTTTTTTGTAAGCGTTATGAGTTATGCATTGGTATAACAACATACGACTTCCAAGAAAACATTCTACATATGTCTTAATTATCATAAAACGACACCTAAACATAATATATATTTTAACAGCAATTGGATCAGAGCGATTTCCTCGTGCTGATTGAAATATAGATGTTAAATATGTCATCGCGCAATCACTTGTTGCTCCAAGGGATAGATATATTGAAGTAAAACTAGAAATTATTAATTGCACATGAATCCTAGACTGAACACGCTATGTCGTGGTAAGAAATTAACCGTTACTATATAACACTATAATAAAAATAGTAGTTCTAAATGGTAAATGGAAGAAACAGTCGGTTTTGCAATTCCGACTCTGCGAAAGGCGTCACGAAGATCTTTAATTGACAATAATGCAATAAATATAATATCATAGCTTGATATCAATCAGTAGTGATAAATTTTCACTCGAGATTATAGATCTAATGTATAATTTTACTTAAAGATAAGTTTTCGGGGCCATTGCTGCAATATATGCATTTAAATTAATATTAGAAATAGGGTTGGTCCAATTTGACTTTTAGTAATTATACTGTGAAAACCAAACCAACAACATCAAAACTAATAACACATCTCGAACAAGCAACTATCTAACTATGCTTAGTAAAATTCCCAGTTAATTCGCCATTGTGATATGTTTTTCGCTGTTTTTAAAAAATAGTCGACTAGTACATCTTACTCCATAATCGGGGTGGCAAGTTAGAGCCCGGTGGCAAAAAGGTATTTTTATATGTTAAGCACTATTTTAATTTCAATATATATATATATATATATATAAGGATATAATCCTTTAGACCATAGAAAATATAGATATAAAGAAAGCAATACAAGTTTGTTTTTTGTAAAAAATGTTGTCTTTTAAAGTTTTTAATATAATTTTAATATAATATAATTATTATATCATTATCATTAATGGTAATGATATAATCATTTAGACTATAGAATATATAGATTCAAAGAAAGCAATGCAAGTTGTTTTTTTGACAAAATTGCTGTCTTTTAAACTTTTTAATATATGTATTTAACCATTGAATAATTACATTACCCTTTATTTGAAAATTATTGTATATAGATGTGCCAAAATATATGCAAAAGATAAAGAGATTTATAGCAGGTTTCTTTTTCGTTAATATTTAAAAACATCCTAAAAAATATTGCTAAAAATTATTATCAAAGCCTTAAATTTGATTTCAATATGCTAAAAAAATATTCAATTAAAAATTTTAGTTAAAAATTTAAGTTAGTTGATTTTCTATATGCTTATATTTATTTTGGTATTGCAAAGTACCAGTTGCGCCTTAAGCCACAATGTATTACATCACTACTTTATTTCATTAATATAAATCAAGTATATAGTTTTAGCTATTGAGTGTAGACTTATTTTTGATCTGGTTAAAAAGTAAAAAAAAAAATTAAAATGAGATTAAAATATGATTTAAAACAAATGTTTCAGTCATTCGATTGATTCATTATAATCTCAGAGTGCCTTAGCGCACTACCAGAAACAAAATGTCATCAAACCAAACCATCAACGTGATGAATTTTTTATATACAAAATTGCAAATTTTTTTTCCGTATTTATATCATTCAAGTGTTTATTAATTTAAAGTTTTAAAATGATTATTACCTCGATTAACATATAGATAGTTCGACTAAAGCAATGAGTTTATTATAAAATAAACACAATTTTTTTATACTTTTATACGCCCATGCGGGCACAAGCGGAAAGGGTCCATAGAAAGGTGAATCCTGTGATTTGGATTCACATATTTAAAGTAAGCCACTGTAAGTAAGAAATTTAAATCAAAGTAACTACTTCAACAGTTTTTCATTATACTTTGACATTTTTAGAATTTATTATGGCGCTTTACAAAGAATGATATT